CGAGCAAATGTTGTCCCCTTGTTCAAGAAGGGGAGTAGAGACAACCCTGGTAATTATAGACCAGTGAGCCTTACTTCGGTTGTGGGTAAAGTTTTGGAAAGGATTATAAGAGATAGGATTTATGATCATCTAGAAAGGAATAATTTGATTAGGGATAGTCAACACGGTTTTGTGAAGGGTAGGTCGTGCCTCACAAACCTTATTGAGTTCTTTGAGAAGGTGACCAAACAGGTGGATGAGGGTAAAGCGGTTGATGTGGTGTATATGGATTTCAGTAAAGCATTTGATAAGGTTCCCCATGGTAGGCTATTGCAGAAAATACGGAGGCATGGGATTGAGGGTGATTTAGCGGTTTGGATCAGAAATTGGCTAGCTGTAAGAAGACAGAGGGTGGTGGTTGATGGGAAATGTTCATCCTGGAGTTCAGTTACTCGTGGTGTACCTCAAGGATCTGTTTTGGGGCCACTGCTGTTTGTCATTTTTATAAATGACCTGGATGAGGGCGTGGAAGGATGGGTTAGTAAATTTGCGGATGACACCAAAGTCGGTGGAGTTGTGGATAGTGCGGAAGGATGTTGCAGGTTACAGAGGGACATAGATAAGCTGCAGAGCTGGGCTGAGAGGTGGCAAATGGACTTTAATGCGGAAAAGTGTGAGGTGATTCACTTTGGAAGGAGTAACAGGAATACAGGGTACTGGGCTAATGGTAAGATTCTTGGTAGTATGGATGAGCAGAGAGATCTCGGTGTCCATGTGCATAGATCACTGAAAGTTGCCACCCAGGTTGATAGCGTTGTTAAGAAGGCATACGGTGTGTTAGGTTTTATTGGTAGAGGGATTGAGTTTCGGAGCCATGAGGTCATGTTGCAGCTGTACAAAACTCGGGTGCGGCCGCACTTGGAGTATTGCATACAGTTCTGGTCACCGCATTATAGGAAGGATGTGGAAGCATTGGAAAGGGTGCAGAGGAGATTTACCAGGATGTTGCCTGATATGGAGGGAAGGTCTTATGAGGAAAGGCTGAGGGACTTGAGGCTGTTTTCGTTAGAGTGAAGAAGGTTAAGAGGTGACTTAATAGAGACATACAAGATGATCAGAGGATTAGATAGGGTGGACAGCGAGAGCCTTTTTCCTCAGATGGTGATGGCTAGCACGAGGGGACATAGCTTTAAATTGAGGGGTGATAGATATAGGACAGATGTCAGAGGTAGGTTGTTTACTCAGAGAGTAGTAAGGGCGTGGAATGCCCTGCCTGCAACAGTAGTGGACTCGCCAACTTTAAGGGCATTTAAATGGTCATTGGATAAACATATGGATGATAATGGAATAGTGTAGGTTAGATGGGCTTCAGATTGGTTTCACAGGTCGGCGCAACATCGAGGGCCGAAGGGCCTGTACTGCGCTGTAACGTTCTATGTTCTATGTTCTATGGGATGCGGTCGGGGGAGGGGAGATTTTGAAGCTTGTGAAGTCCACATTGATACCATTGGGCTGCAGGGTTCCCAAGCGAAATATGAGGTGCTGTTCCTGCAACCTTCGGGTGGCATTGTTGTGGCACTGCAGGAGGCCCAGGATGGACATGTCGTCCAAGGAGTGGGAGGGGGAGTTGAAATGGTTCGCGACTGGGAGGTGCAGTCATTTGTCGTGAACCGAGAATAGGTGCTCCACAAAGCGGTCTCCAAGCCTCCGCTTGGTTTCCCCGATGTAGAGGAGGCCACATCGGGAACAGCGGCTACAGTATACCACATTAGCAGATGTGCAGGTGAACATCTGTTTAATGTGGAACGTAAGCGAAATATGAGGTGCTGTTCCTGCACCCTTCTGGTGTACAGTTTGATTGAATGGAGGCTGATCAAATGAAACTTGATCATCAAGACAATGCTTATTCATGAAGTTCAGGGAAAACCATTGACTGGTATGGGCCAGATCTGAGTTACATTGACCCCAGAACTAGACCTGTGCCAGCCACATTTTATTTTTTTTTCTTTATTCATTCACGGGATGAGGGAATCGCTGAGTAGGTAGCATTTATTGCCCATCCCTAATTGCCCAGAGGGCAGTTAAAAGTCAACCACATTGTGTGGGTCTGGGGTCACGTGTAGGCCAGACTAGGTAAGGACAGCAGTTTCCTTTCCTAAAGGACATTAGTGAACCAGATCAGTGTACCTGAAAGCACAGGTGATTGGTCAGATGAGGTTGAGGGCCCTGTCAACCACCATGGGTGGGAAACCCTGGCTGTGGAAGAAGCAAGCCATGTCAGCAGCACTGTTTTGGAAGGTGGTATCATCCAAACAGGTGCGATGTAGGTGAAGGAACTGGGAGAATGGGATGGAGTCCTTCCAGGACATGGGATGTGACAAGCTGTAGTGAAGGTAGCTATGGGAGTCAGTGGCTTTGTAGTGAATGTCAGTAGACAGTTTGTTCCCTGAAATGGAGATAGAGAGGTCAAGGAAAGGAAGGGAAGAGTCAGAAATGGATGATATGAAAATTATAGAGAGGTGGAAATTGGAGGCAAAATAAACAACTTTTTCAAGATCCTGGAGGGAGCATGAAGTGACACTGAAGCAGTCGTCAATGTCCCGAGAAGAGTCCTGGGATTAGCCAATGTTGGGCTGGAACAAGGGTTGTTCCACATACCCTATAAAGGGGCAGGCATAACTAGGACCCATGAGGGTGCCCATTGCCACTCCTTTGACTTGACAGAAATGAGATGAATTAAAGGAGAAATTGTTCAGTGAGAGAACAAGTTCAGCCAGGCGGAGGAGAGTGGCGGTGGATGGAGAGTGTTCAGACCTCTGGTTGAGTAGGAAGCTGAGAGCTCTCAAACCATCCTGGTGGGAAATGGAGGTGTAGAGGGATTGGACATCCATGGTGAATAGGAGGCAGTTAGGGCCAGGGAACTGGAAATTGTCAACATGGTGGAGGGGTATCAGAAGAATTGTGGATGAAGGTGGGCAGGGTCTGGACAATTGGAGACAGGGTGAGCCAAAGTAGGAGGAAATGAGTTTGGTGGGGCAGAAACAGGCTGATACAATGAGGACGATGACAGTCCTAATCATTATGAATGAGTTGTAAATGGACCTCGTAGTGATTGAAATGAGGTCAGCTAAGTGAACCTCATAGAATATGGACCTGCCTTTGGTCCAATCAGGAAGCCCTGGCTGATAGATAAGAACAGGAGTGTCAGGCATCCTATTTGTGCTGAAAGTTGTCTCTGAGGGAGCTGGATCAGTGCCAAGGACTCTCCATGTGTAAGTAAAGGGTGACTTGGTGATGGGATACTGGCCTCTGTGGTGTTATTTCAGACCTGATCAGTCCATGATCATCAGTGAACATTCTCTCTTATGAATTCAGGTTGGAGGGTGACTGTTGAAGATAGTTGGGCCTAGATACCGTCCTGAGGAACTCTTGCAGTGGTAGCTGATTAATTATAAATGAGGAAAAGTCACTTTAAAATGATGCTGAGACTTCATTGTGTACATGCCAACATGAGGCTTCTCTCTAGGGACAGCTGAGACACAGATAAATGTGTTTAAAGCTGGAGGCCTGACACAAAGGGACAGAGGCAGTGAGGCAAATAGGTAGAGATGAAGTGCTGTTTGATATAAACTTCCCCTGTCCCAATCTGTCACATCTCACCTGCTCCTGAAACCCTCATCCATACTTTTTTAATATCTCTCACATGATAGTTCAAAACCTCTCCTAGCTGATATTCCTATTTCCACCCTCCCTCGAAGAGCTCATCTGAAACACTCAATTTCCCCACTCACACTTAACATTCCTGTGCTTGCTAATCTGTTTCCTTCTAATCCACTAAAGGCTTTATTAAAATTCTCAGCTTTGTGTTCAAATTCCTCCATGAATGTTTCTTTCCTATCTTCTAACTCCAGGCTCTATTGAACCAAAATTGGAACTTTCAGCAGTTTAGGCCCCAAGATCTGGCATTTCCTCCAAAAATTTTATCTGCTTTCCACTTTGCTCTCCTCCTTTAAGACTCTTGTTAACTCTCCTTTTTGATCAGGTTCTTATACATGTCAATAATATAAAACAAAATACTGGAAGCAGAGTTCTGAAGAAGGGTCACTGGATCTGAAATATTAACTGTCCCTCTCTCTCCTCAGACCAGATTTCACTTGATTTATTGTCATGTGTATGTAAGTACAGTAAAAAGCTTTGTGAGCTGTACAGGCAGATGATAGTAAGCAATGACCTACAGATCATAGGGTGAAAAAGATTTGGACTGAATGAGGCATACATGTTACACCACACAGGATGTGCACTAGGCAAGATCAATGTTAACAAGATAAACAAACAGGTTATTTGACATTAGAGTTGATTCATCAGTCTTATAGTGGCAGGGAAGAAGCTGTTCTTGAACCTGCTAGTGCATGTGTTTAAGCTTCTATATCTTCTGCCTTATGGAAGAAGTTGTGGAAAGAGTCTTTGGTGTTGGCAACCTTTCCGCAGCAACGAGAGGTGTAAATGGAGCCCATGGATAAC